CTTTTTTTTCAGTCGGAATTTGGCAGAACTCAGTTCTGGCGCCTCCCAGGTGGGCGCCATTGCCATTATTAGAGAACAAGGGAGGCGTTCCTGGTGTGTTACAGCACCTCTTTTTCTAGAAAAATCGCACTAAATATATGAATGGTACCTTATAGCTTGATAAGCTTTGATTAATGAGTGAAACAGTGGGGGTATCAAATGTATCAGGACACCATAGCTGGGGGTGAGGTGGGGGCTCTGCATTACTTAGGTGGTTTTTGAAGGCGATTGGGGAGAGTCAGAGGAAGGTGGATTCCAATAGGTCTTGGAAGCACAACTATTTATTTGAATTCCTTTAAAGCCACACCCTTTTCCCATTCTGGAGCACTTAATGGGAACAGAACATTGAAGCAATAATACAGTACAAAGAGTATCATAGAGTCGCAAGACGGCAATAAAATGGCTGAGATTAAAATATTGATGGGACCACAACCCAGCAGCAGTCTGCTCTGTAACCCAAGTGCCTGGATTAACGGGAATGTCTTCAGCATTAAAAGTGTGCCTTTAAAGCACACCCAATGCACATATAAATTGCATTCCTTTCCAAAGAACCCTGGGAGCTATAGTTTGTTAGGGGGGCTGAGAATTGCTGCTCTGCGAGGCAAAAACTGCAGTTCCCATGATTCTTTGGGGGGGAGTTGTGTTCTTTAAATGTGCTTTGAATGTGCTTTAGATGTATGGCGTAGATCCAATGTAATCTTTGAGCAATCTAGGGCTATAAGGAGCCAGCAGGTTTGCATACTATTTGCTGGGGAGACGTCTGCCCCCTTCATGCCTTGCATGTGGGCTTCCTGGAGGCATCTGCTCGACTGCTGTAGGAAAATAAATGCTGGACTATATAGCCTGTTGGAGGCTGCAGCAGACCAATTCTCTCTTCCTTCCCTCCTCCTGTTCCAGTTTCACCACCCGCTCCTTCAACGGACACTTCTGCAAGTTGCAGAAAGAAGCTCACGGGTCCTTTTTGAAAGTTGTTGTGTTAAAAACAGCCTTTTGCATGTACTCCCATGTAACTAAAGAGTCCTCTGCTCAACTGCCTGAGTTTGCGATAAGATGGAATTGCCCCCTCAGCCTCCTTTAACAGAGGGATTAACTGTAACCCCAATAATATTGGATCCCTCATAGTAGCAACAGTTACTGTTGCTATGATGGCTCTCACCCTCTAAGATCACTTTCGTTTTCCTCCTTGGACCCAGAGATCAAAGCACATCTCCCCCCCCCCCGTAGGAAATTCCCCCCCTGTACTTGTTGGGCTGCCCAGAACTACACATGCAGTCTTGGGGGGGGGGATAGGCAAGAGGCACACGGTCTTAAGTTTGGCTTCCTCCCTTTTCACATCGGGTTGTCCTAGTCATTTATATTTTAAGATGTCCCTACAAAAATCTGTACACATTTTTCTGTTTATTTTCTCCAATATATTTGTTTAGTGTGGAATCATGATGAATTGGGGGGGGGGATTCTTTCCACAGATAAAAAACCTTTATACTTTATTTTTGATTGTAATGGCATACACGCTTTTCCCAAACGTGCACATTTTTGCAAGCCTGTTTTGCTTGGAGAACGGTGTTGCAAAATTCGGAGGCCTGAGATTTGGGAGATTGCGGTGCTTCCCTAGGCTTATTGCTTCAGGGACTTGGAATTAGACCAGCTCTTCTAGGTTGTTCTGAGGTGGGTGGTGGTTGGGGAAACCATGGGGTGGACTGGATGACCTTCTGGTAGGTAGCTGTTCAGTGCCACTCACTTTCATGGCTGTGTGTTTCTACCAGGTCATCAGTGCTTGAGCAAGAGGAGGGAAGCTGCTTATTGTCCACCTACACCCACACAAACACACCCACACACCCTGCTGTGACTGTTGCACCTTCATAGGGTCACACAACAGATATTCTCTCTCTCTCTCTCTCTCTCTCTCTCACACACACACACACACACACACACACACACAGTCAGTCCTCAGTATATTCGAAAAGTGAGCACAGCTGCTGCACACAGCGTACCATTGTCAGATGCTGTTTGGCAGCTGAAATATTTGTCTAACCTAAGGAATTTGGGAGTTCTGTTCTCATGCCTGATTTCCAGGAATGCAATGGTGGGGCCTGAATTCTTCTCAGCAACACCTTTTGTACAACAGCTGCCCCTCCTTCCCAGATTTTTGAGCTCCTCCCAGCCCAACAGAGCTATTTGGCTTGCAAAGGCATTGAAGATACAGGGAGTTAAAAAAATTTGTTGGAAGAGAAGAAAGCAGGTTAAAATCAACACGTTTCCCCCCTGACTGGCTGCTTTGGCCTTTTCAACACCTTTGTTATTTCAAGTTGCCAGCCTTTGTACTTCTGGGTTTTTTGTCTTCTTTTTTTTTAAAGACTCTTCCAAATCTTCAAGTTACTAGTCCACAAATGCTTTTCTGCCCTGCCTGCCTGCCTGCCTCCCTGCTACTCATTTGTAGTCTAGGTTCTAATACTAACAAAGGCTCTAAACTTTTGTTTCCTGTTGAGTCTACCTATTGACAGTCCCCAAAGTGGCTACTGTAAAACTGAAATATTGCAATTAGTGCAGTAATTCCAGAACAGTGCAATGAGAGACCTACTACTTTATTGCAATAAGTAAATTGAATTAAATATTGCTATGAGTCTAAAGTATGAATAAAAAAGAATGCCTTTAAGAGGCACTTCCACAGTATTTCCTGTTATTGGCCATCACTTGCAGGGGACAGAGCAAGGCTCTGTGTCAGGGGAAATTTAAAGTACCCAATCACTCCTGATGCAAAGTTGGAGTGGAATTACTCGTTGGAGGACGATTCTTGTTGCATCTCTGTGTAATATGCTGCTCTCAGCTGGACTCCATCCACCGAAGGCGCACACACCCAGACAGTGTTGCACCATAAGAGATGGGATCCTGACCCCTGTAGTTTCCAATAGTCAAGCTCCTTGGAGTTTGTAGTTGTAGTTTCCAGTTTTAATCTGGAATGTGGTCTGTGTTTCTGTGTGTCATTTAACTGCTGGAAATGTTTGGAAACTTCCTTAAGATCAGTTTTGGTATTTTGGCATCTGATATATTTTTTTTTTAATGTCATGTGAGTGGAGAAGCCTATATCTCGGCAGTTAGGTAGAGATGGTTTTGTTTCGTTTTTCTCCTTGACTAGGCTTAGCCTGGGACTTCAAACCAAATGCACATTTTGACACTGAGGCTGCTGCATTGCTCAAGTTCTAAGAAGCAATTGGCTAAGGGCACCTGTAGACACTCCCTATTTATGCTGGCCGAGGTCAATGGGAGCTGCAATCCAGAACCTCTGGAGGACACTGGGAGATGGGCAGGGGTCCTCTGAACCTGGTTCACTGCTCCTTTGCACTGCCCCTTCAGGATGTGATTTGCATTCCGTTGGTTTGACCCCTTTTCTTCTCTTTGAAAGCCTGGAGCTCCTTTTTCTTTCATGGGGCTTCAGGATGGGCGAGAGAGGAGTGGAACCAGGAGCCTGTGAGTTTGGGCATTAGCCAAGCCTGTTCCTTGGCAGGACTCCTTCCCACGTTTCACTCGCTGCCACACCCTCAAGCTGCCTTGTTCTCTTTGCCAGCTTTGTTAGCTGTTCCCTTGGTTGAGAGTACTTAATTTATTTGTAAAAAGCCTTAATGGCGTTCTGACTTTAATCCCTGCATGACAGCCCTTTCTCTGTTTAATTCATACTTCACAGCCTGAAAGCCATTTATGCAACTAGCCTTAACTTACCAGAATAAAAGAAAATATATGATCCACTTTGCCTTTCCTGTTTTTAAGCATTCAGTTTCACTCAGAAGATCCCTCCCTTCTTGTATGTCAGGGCTGGCTCTGCCTCTCCTCAGGAGGAGGCCCACCCACTTGCAGGAGCAGCAAATGAATTGTCATTTTGATAAAATACTATATTTTTATTTAATGGGGAATTCTAGAAAATAAAATGTAAAAAATGGCAACTGTAGCCCCGGTTGGGCTCCCTAATCGTAGATTGTAGCGTTGGAATGGGTCCTTAGGCTGATCTAGTCCCAACTCCTACAACATTGGAATCACAGCTAAATAACCTGGTCAGACGGCCATCCAACTTCTGTTTAATAACCTCCATGAAGGAGAGTCCACCACCTTCCAAGGTAGTCTTTTCCACTATGGAACAGTTCTTACGTCAGAAAGTTCTTCCTATGGTTCAGTCGGAATCTCCTTTCTTGGCATTTGGATCCATTGGTTCAGGTTCCTGCTCTCTGGAGCATCAGAAAGCAAGCTTGCTCCATCTTCCAGCCTTTGAGATATTAGAAGATGGCTATCAGATCCCCTCCCAGTCTTCTCCAGGCTAAACACCCCCAACTCCCTCAAAATTTCCTCCTAAGGCTTGGTTTCCAGGTAGCTTATCTTGGTCATCCTCCTCTGCACACATTTCAAACCCTAATAAATGGAGGTATTGCAGTGTGCAAGAAAGGAGGACTTGACAGTTTCTTCTGTGCTGCAGTCGGGTGTTGGTGATGTAGTGGTTTGGGTGTGGATCATTCAATACATGTGGAAAGCACCTGGTTGGCGAATTTAAATGAAATAAAGAGCATGAAAATCGTGCAAATGGGAGGAAATTTCCCATTGACATTCTTTGCTGGGATATTTGGGGAATTGAAAGGTATTGAAATAAGATTAGGGTGACGTTACAAATATCCTTCCTTCACTGCTGTCTAAAACATGTTTTCTTTTGCAGCCTGACACCCTGTTGAAATTTTGCAGCCGCATGCCCACTATGCCTTTAAAACACACCTGAACCACATTCTTTCCCTCAAAGAATTCTGGGCACTGTAGTTTCCCCTCACAGAATTGCAGTTCTTAGAAACCATTAAGAAACTACAGGGCCCAGAATCCTATGTGAGAAAGAATGGCCTTTGAACGTGCCTTAAAGGTAAAGTGTGGACTTGGCCTCAGTGCCTCTATGCTCAAGCAGATTGACTTGAAGTCTTCTTACTTTCTTCCAGCCTTCTCTCAAGATGTCAACGGTCCACGAAATCTTATCCAAGCTCACCCTTGAGGGAGATGTAAGTATTGCTCCATTTACTCCCCCTGCTTCCCCCTGGCCCATCCCGACTTCAAACACATCTGTGTGCATGTGGTGTATTTATGTATTGGGGAATGCCTCTTTTGAATGGCACTCAAAAGTTCAAGCCGTGCATCTCTCAGGCAGCAAGTGTTGTGAAAGTTCCCTCTGGATACGCCGGGGGAAGTGGACCAGTGGCTTTATTTGACAGAGGGCAATGCCATGTGCTCAGAAATGCAGACATTCCCCTGGACTGAGAATAGGCTCTTTCGAAAGTTGTAGATTTTTACACTTGCACAGAATAAACCTTTTGAGGTGCAAGAGTGTGCACCACTGTTTCTAACTCAGGGCGGGAGAGAGAGGTGGGGATGCTTTGGTGTTCAGAGGTTTGGGAAATGCTCTTTAAAGAAATGTCCTCAGGCAGTCTCCTGAGTGAGACACACCAGGTCTGTTTTGCCTAGTGGGACCTGCCTGGCGGTGGGTGTGCAGCTACCGGATCCTTTGAACTGCAGGTGGAACAGATTGAGTTGAGGCCCTTCTGCAGGCCAGGCATCTGCTCCACTGCTGAGCTATGAAACCCATCCCAGACGTGTTTGATGATAAGCAAGCAAAAGAATGTGCTTTTATTCTGAGTGGTGTCAGCTTCTCCATGGTGCAATTAAACTTTTCCACTCGCTGCTTTTCTTGGCATCAGAAAGGAACAGAATCTTCTGGAAAATCTGTGTATGGTGTACATAGGCCAGCAAAAGGCCAGCTTCTACCTTGGCGGAGAGAGGTGGGAATAGCCAAGAGGTGGTAGTTAGCTGTTCAGTTAAAAAAAAAAGGGGGGGGGAGTGTTTACACCCTCCCCCTGGAGTCTTGCATTTTTAAAGGAGAGCCTCATCACAGCTGTGCTCAAATGACCTGTTTCACAAGCCTTGCTGGAGAGGAGGAATTATGGGTGGCAATTCTGTGTTTGGAGGTTGCTATCACATCAATCTATGTATCAGATCCCCTCCCAGTCTATATCTATATATATATCTATATATGTATCTATATCTATCTATCCTATCTATCTATCTATCTATCTATCTATCTATCTATCTATCTATCTATCATCTAACTATCTATCTATCATCTATCTATCTATCTATCTAATCTATCTATCATTTATTTATTTATGAAATGTGTGTACTGTCCTTCATCTGTAGTTCTCGGGTGATTCACAACATAAAAGCACAAAATAATAACCTAATAAGAACAAGAACAACCCCGCTGTCCTTCCACCCCGTTTGATCATTGGCCCTTTTAGCTGCAATAGTCACAGGTGCTTTTTCCCTGGAGCAAAGCTTACAAAAAGAAAGGAACCTCCCCTCCCTCCCCTCAGGGATCGTGGGGTGATGGCAGTTTCCTATTTTTGTGTTGCAATACCTCATATTTTGTGCCATTCCTGGCAGTGAAGCAAGTGGAAAAGAACATGGCTCACCTCTTGCAGGTCTTGCTGGCCTCATTGCACCGTTTCTGTTTTTGACTTTTAAAGAAGCAGAATTTATTTATTGCATGCATTTGTACACAGCTTTCTGATTTTTTAAAAAAGTGGCCCACAGATAACAACTATTTGGAATTCAGTTACCTTTAAGCTGCACATGAGACTATCACAGTACTCAAGGACAATATCCTGGTATTGATAATTAAAACAATTTTTTTTTAATGTTCCTTTTCTCCCAACACCAATAAGAACAAGTTTTTTCCAGGGAATGTGAATGAAACAACTCAAATTTGTACTTGGTATGTGTATGTTTAATTTTTAGTTTTCATTTGGGCTTTTGTTGTTGTTTTAGTGTGTTGTTGAAGTGGGTGGTCTTGTTTAAATAAATAGAAAGTTTTTTGCTTTTTTAAAGACCCATAAGACAGCTCACAGGCAAAGTTCTTATACATCAGGGATGAGGAGACTGACTCCTATCACCACCGCCATCTGCTTTCTGGGGCTGATGGGAGTTGGAGTCCATTAAGGCCTCTGGTCCTGTCTTTGTTTTATGCATTGGGTCTGTTCTGTGAGATAAGAAAGTAGCCGCCCTGTCAGGTGAGAAGACGGTGCCATTTCCCCCATGGACGTTAGGCTGGCTTTCCTCTTGCAAGAACAGAGCTGCTGATTTAATGGAGCCAGTTTGGAAGATCATTCCCCCCCTCTCCTCTTCTCTCCCACAGCACGCTCTCCCTCCAAGCGCCTACGCCACAGTCAAGGCATACGGGAACTTTGATGCGGATCGCGATGCTGCAGCCCTCGAAACCGCAATCAAGACCAAAGGTAGGGCTGGGCAGGGGAGACCCTCTGTCCTCCCTTGGCAGCTGCCATGTCCTGGACTTGCCACCGTCAAGCATTACTTTATTCTTATTGCTTATTAACTTTGAATACTACCCTTCATCCATAGATTTCAGGGCAGTTCACAACATAAACATACAATATAAAAAACGCAAAATACACAATACAATTGAGAATGAAAACAAACCAATCATCTCCTCTCCCACAACCCAATTAAAAGGGTAGCAGATGTTAATCAGCCAAAGACCTGGTGGAAGAGGAATGTTTTCGCCTGGTGCCAAAAGGTGTATAACGAAGGATCCAGCTGAACCTGTGTTGCATCCTTAGATTAAACGATTGGGTTGATGCCCGTTTCTTTCCCAGGGAAGGTATTCAGGAGCTCAAAAGCAGCATGAAAGCAACTCTTTCTGGTAGATAGGAGGTTGTTCCTGCAACAGCAAATGCTTTGCAGTGTTGAGGCTCTTGTTGTCCCATGTTGCAAATTTTCTTTCACTGCAGGAATGGGGAACCTGTGGCCTTCCAGATGTTGTTGGACACCCAACCCACTCCAACTTCCTTGACCATGGGAGTTGGAGTCCAATGATATCTGGGGCACCACAGGTTCTCCACCCCTGGTTTAGAGCCTGACCCCACCCAGAAGGAGCTCACTTTGGTAGCAAAACATTCTTCTGGCCTACAAGGTAGGTTGAGATGAAAGAGATTGGGTGATAGGGGCAAGTGCAAAGTAGCAATGCCAATGTGCTCATGGCCATGCACAGTATTCCCGTTTTCCAGTCTGAGTCTGGGCATTGGCTTTAATGATGCCAGAACCCTTTCATCTCATGATAGTTTCATAGCTGTGCTGTTTCATTCTTTTGCCTGTCAGTACATGCCAGACTTTGCAAAGGCAGTGCCTGTGGTGTGACTTTGGGCTGTGGAGCCTCATTCTGTATGGATTAATATTGGGGGTGGGGGGCTGGACCCACCTGTATTGAGTTTCAGGTTGCAAGCTTCTTGGGGCAAAGACCTGCCGCCTTCTACTTTGCAAAGCACCATGCATACAGGTAGTGGTTTATACATACATATCAACTATATGTTGCAGGCAAAACCTGCAACAAAATCTTGGCAGCTTGTTCATAGGTGGAATTGCATCCACCTAACCCCAAACAACCAGTCACTGTGTATACTCAGTCCTCATTGGGCTGTAGCTGGGGAGGTGTTCCAGGACTTTTTTGAACTCGGACCAACTTTGGGGTCCCTCTTCATATGTATGAGTGGCTTACTTATTACAGACTGCTACTGCAGTTACCTTTCGTATTTGTGATGATGCTCCCGCAGCCACCATGCTGGCTTGGTAAGCTGTGAATTGGAGGTGGCCTTGCAGAATTCAGTCCATTGCATTGCATCCTTGCTTGACTTGAACAGGATTGGCCCTTAACTGATGGGCCTGTTTTCTGCAAAAAACCCCTCATCATTCTACCATTTGTGGGGCAGAAGGGAGATAACAAATGTGCAAAAATGGAATTCACCTAGTTTGGAGAAACGGGGGGGGGGGGTGTGTCCTGTGATTACTTCATGGAACATCTGGATCTTTCTCAGAGCAGTGGTGAGAAGCTCTTGCACATCCCTTCATGTTGCTGAGAGCAAAAGCCAGAAGCAAAATAACTATTGGAAACACTTTGACCAGCCTGGCATGATTGGCAGGCCACACCTTAGTTTTTAAAAATTGGAGAGAGAAATGTTGATGGAGTAAATCAAAGAGAGAGCACACCTGCTGTTTTCACTCTGGGGCTTTGTATGTACCTTGCATCTGTCAAGCACTCTTGAGATGCCTGAAATTTCATTATTAAAAATAAAGAACATGCTTCTGGCCCTCAGTGTGGTGGGGGGAGGAAAAATACTCTTTGGACCCCACAGCCCTAATCTTTATCTTTTTTTCTTCTCCTATTCCTTGCTTCAGGTTCATTATATTTTTTAGTGAAAGAGGAGAAAGTCTACAAACCTCCCTTGTTGTTCTTTTTTTGTTAGATCATGGAGTTTGCTGTGGCATGCCCCTGTGTGTGGCAAGTGTAAGTTGCCCTTTTGCATGTGAGATGTCAAACGGAAACACCTCCCATGTGAACCTTTTGATATAAAAGATAAATGGCCACACGAGCAGCCACAAATGCGAGGCTCTGTTCCTCCCTCCCGGAGGAGGAGGAGGGGAGGGGCAAACCATCACTTTACAGGAGGTTGGCTAGTAGCTCATCTCACACCGGTGTCCTGAAAGGATGCTACAGCTCACAGCTGCAGGAGCTCTCCTCTTTGGAACTTCCCTTTGCAGGCCAGCTTCATGCCTCAGCTTCATGCCTTCTGTTTGGCTGTGGGCCTGCGCAGTAATTCTCACTAGTTACTAACCACATGGCTGTGCTCTGCTGCCACTGTTGGAGGCAGCAAGGTTTCCAAATACCAATCTCTGGAAGCCACAGGGAGGCAAGAGTGCCTTTGTGCTTGAATCCTGTTGTGGATTTCCCACTGTAAGATCACAATGCTGATCTTGGCCTGATCTTACCCTGAAGCCACAATGGACCACAGAGTAGCAAAGCAAGGCGCATCTGTTAGCCAGTGGACAAAAGTGTCTTTTCTGTTTGCCAGATTGATCAGAGCATTGCAACAGGAGATTAAGAACTCCCTCCTTCCCTTAAGATTGAAAAAGAAGAACTCTGAGCTCCATTCTTCACTGAACAGCTCACTGCCCCTCCCCTGTCTCAGCAGCTATGAGTCAGCATCCTGCTTCTGATATCCTCTTACCCTGAAATGCAAAGGGATTTTTCCAACCCTCACCTCCTGCTCCACATAAGCCAGAAGAATGAACACAGCCTGTTCCACTATCTCTGCAGACTTTGGAAGTGGCACAATTCTGCATTCTTCCTTGGGGAGAGTGACTTTTCCTGTCCGCCTGCTCTGCACTCCTCCTTAACTGCTTTTTGTCAGTACTAAGCTGGGTCTCCCTGTCTGTGGTTTGGACATGGTTGAAACTGGAAAGAGTGCCTAATTTGCTGGGCCATTCTTAGATCTCATAAATGAGAGGATCTGTATAGATACACAGTGGGGCAATGAAGAGTCCTCTGTGCACACAAGCATCTAACTACACTTCATGACCAGCAGTAGAACATGAGAAAGGATTCAGTTGCATCCTATCCTTTTGATGGCAGGTTCAAGCATTTATTTATTTTTACTGAAATTTCCTTGGGCAGTTAAAATTGTCTAAGCTTTAGCCTGCGTAAAGTTTTTTAATTGTTGTCTGTTATAATATTTACTGTTGCCTTGCATAAATTTATTATTTTATTGCTCATTGCCCTGGAACTGGATGAAGGGTGGTGTCTAAACTGTGTTTGTTTGCCATGTGATGGTGTATTCACTTAGAGATCATCTTTTGCAGTCCATTCCAATCTGTCCCTTTGTAGCAGCATATGTGGGTACTTCTGTTTTCGAAGGCATCAGCATTTGATCAATAAAAACCACCACCACCATTGACTTTCAAAAATGCCCCCAGTTTAAACTGGGGAGTAAACATTTAAAATACTTTTAATACAAGCACTTATGAAAGCTTCCGGTGCCCAGAGGCTTCCTCTTTTTCTCTTGCCCAGGAGGGAAGCCTAACCCTAACCCTAACCTGCTATGGCTCATATATCAGTAAACTAAAAACAGAGGTTATTGAGTTGTTGTTTTTTAACCCTCCTATTTAAATCTAATTGAGCTAATGACCCTATGAGTTTTAGTTGATTTATCAGCTCAGGTTTCTTTAACAGGATGGCAGTTCTTCTCCATGTGCAACAGCCTTCTCGGGAGGTTAGGCTGAGAGTTTGTGGCTGGCTGAACCCACCCTACAAAGGGTTGCTCTGGCTGAAATCCAGTATTAGTCATCACTTTGTGTCTCTCATGCTTATTTCTGCTGCACCCCTCAAATGCTCTGTGAGTCATCTTTTTCTTCAATGATTCATATTCTGCCATTTGTGTGAAATGTCCCTGCAAGAACAGGCAGATCCTGTGAGCATCCCCTGGCCACAGCCCCGCATGGACTGAAATCCAACACCAGGAAATGCCAGCACATCAGTAAAGCCTGGCCCAAGATATTTGCTGCCACAAGCAGCAAAGCCTAGATAACACCCTTCCTTCACAAGTTAACGTTTGACATAAGACCCTCTGAAATGAATGGGAGCCACCAAACTGCATGGTAGTAGTCTTTTCTGTAGAGTGCGGGGATATTTTTGGCTTTAAAAAAAAAGAAGTTTTCTAGACCTCGACAGTGGAAGACTGAGGTGGTGCCTCACACAACTTCTGTTCCTTCCAGTACACTGCAGTACAGTGGTACCTCAGTTTACGAACTTAATCCATTCCGGAAGTCCGTTCTTAAACCAAAGCGTTCTTAAACCAAAGCGTGCTTTCCCATAGCAGCGGGGGAGTCAGTTTACAAATGGAACACACTCAACAGGAAGCAAAACATGTTGTTATTCCAAGGCAAAGTTCACAAACCAAAACACCAACTTCCGGGTTTGTAGCATTCTTAATCCAAATTGTTCATAAACTAAGCTGTTCTTAAACCAAGGTACCACTGTACAGCGATTCTTCCTGTTGGACGGTGTTCCATGGCTCCATATTTGTTTCCCACTGGGCCACCTTTAATGGCACTCCCCTCTCGCCTTGCCTCAAGGGCGGGCCACCTCTGTATCTGGAACATTAGGTAAAGTGTCCATGGTGCGTGCAAGGGGATGTACATAACGTGGACATGATAAGGTCCGTGGACAATCTGCCTGAAGCCAGTTGCTAACCTTGTATCCTCCCACTACAGTTCCCTTTGACTGAGTTTGCTTATATGCCGCTTTCCCAAAAGGAGCTGTGCTCAAAGCGGCTTACAGCAGCCATTCAAATCATCAGAACAGAGAACACTAGAAATACAAATATACAAAATACAGAACGTGTCAGTAAAGTCAAAATAAGAAAAACCAACAATTTAGCAAACAAAGCACAAATTTAATGTTACCAAACCAATCCCAATCTAGGCTTAAGTACATAAATAAAAAGCAAAATGAAAAATTGAAATGTTTGTCCCAGCCAGCATCTAGTGGAATGCTCTTTGAAGACAGCGTGGCACAGTGGTTAGTGTCTTAGACTACGGAGACCCAAGTTCAAATCTCTGCTCAGCCACAAAGCTCATTGGGTAAGCTTGGACCAGCTGCTTTTTCCTCAGAACTAATCAACCACACAGGGTCAATCTGAGGATTAAAGAAAAAGGTTGGAGAACTTTTATATGCACCCTCTGAGCTTTATAGATAAAGTGCAAACAGCCTTAAAGTTTTATTACTTTCAAGTGGTATATAAATTTTGTGAAACAAAAATAAATGTAAAGAACGTAAATAACTTGTATCTCATTTCCATCTGTTATTATAACTGTTCTATCTGTTTTATACACATTACAAAATGAAATTTTTAAAAATGCAAAAAAAAGAAAATATTCAATGTAGAGTGGGCTATAAATATTGCAAATCAATCAATGTGCATTGTTGTGCTTTTTTTGTAATCTTCTGAAAGTTTTGAGGACTGGGAAACTGTTTTTTGAAAACCCAGCTGGCCCCGGGTTTGCCTTTTAAATCTTTGCAGAGATGACAACATCCAGACCGCTTGCCAATGACCTGTTTGCTCTCCCTTCTCTCTCCCTATGCAGGTGTGGATGAAGTGACAATTGTCAACATCCTGACCAACCGCAGCAATGAGCAGCGTCAGGACATCGCCTTCGCTTACCAGAGGAGAACTAAGAAGGTACTGAAGGAGGCCAAAAGCTACACTATACTGCGAGAGGTAGACCTCTCCTTCTCCCATCAACTTGTCAGATCCCCTTTTAAGGACCTCTGAGCCATACCTTGTAGCAATGAAATCTATAAGCCACAATTTGGATGTGCTTGCCCAGAAAAGCGGCTTAAAAATACTGTCCAGTGAATAAAAGTAGATGGAATTTGAGCTTCCTTTTAAACGTGGTTTGGTATGTTGTCACACAGAACTGAGCCCCACAGAAGATATCACTAAAATAGTGGCATTAGTGCATTCTCTCCAGGAACTGCTGTGCCCTGACTCAGTAGCTCATAAGTAGAGCCTGGTTGCTGGATCAGACCAAGAGGCCAATCTGCTCTGTCGTTCTGTTCCTGCAGCGATTAACCTGATGCCCACAGGAAGCCCACAAGCACCTCCCTCCCAATGTTGCCCTGTGGGGACTGGTATCCAGTGGCTACTGCCTCCGGTACTGGAGAGCCTACAGCTGTCATGGCTTGTGGCCACTGTAGGGCTGTTGTACATTTCAGTGAAAGACTTGCATGGGAGAACTTGGTTTCAGCTATGTTTAGAAAATGATCATTTCCACTTTCACAGTTGTTAGCTGGTCTCTTGTGTTCCATCCTGGCTTTCCGCAGTCGGAGCCAAACCTCCAATTAAGCCAGAGTGCCTGAATGCCAAAGGATTCTAAGAGACAGTGGCAACAGGCAACAATCCAATTCCTCAGTGGAAAAATATGAGTCAGGAGTAGAGGGAAAGGAAATGGATGGGAGATTACTTTTCCTGGATGAGTTTCCTGGGGAAGAAATGTTTCCACTGGGTTTTCTTCACGACATTGCAAATGGCAAGTCAGTTAATGTTCTTTGGGATCAGGAAGGTGGTCCTGTTTGTTTTGAAGGCTGGGGATCTACATTTTATGAGAGAGAGAAAAGAGAGAGAAATGTCCCACCACTTAAATCGTCTTTGCCCCCCCCCCCAGAATCTTGTCTCTTTTAAATCTGTCCATTGCATGCTGAATGAACACTTTCCTACTAGGTTTATGAGTGTGAATTTAGTTTGTGTGCTCAAAATTACATGTTCTCTTCCTTTTTTTTTACACAAAACTCATTTACCTTCCTGGATGGTAGAATATAACAAGGTATTGGGTTGTCATTTACCTTTAAATAGAAAGATTTTGATCACTTCCAAAAGACCACTGTGTCTCCCCTGCAAATCAGTAGGGAAAAACAACAGATTTAAAGACTTCAGTCACTCAGAGGAGCAAGCGCCCAGAAATCTGAAATAGGTACTAACTTTGTCACCCTCTTTCCTGTCTTTAGGAGCTCTCTGCAGCTCTGAAGTCTGCTCTGTCTGGGCACCTGGAGACTACTATCCTGGGTCTGCTGAAAACACCAGCTCAGTATGATGCTTCGGAACTGAAAGGGTCCATGAAGGTATGTGAAATGAGGAACCCCCAAAAGGTTCATCGTTGATGCTTGTCTCCATCACTGAAACCCTTCTCAATCTCTCAGTTCTCACTGTCAAAGAAAACCTTCCTTTATTGAAGGGACCACAAGGCTCATCTAGTCCAACTATGAATCTTTTGCCCAACGTGGGGCTCGAATCCACAACAAGATCACTGAGCTCAGGATGCTTCCCACATTTCAGTGCCTAGATTGCCCGTGTAACTCAGATCACTGTGTGTTATCGACACTAAACAGGACCCACAACAGTGAGCGTTGGAGTTGCTGTTAAAATTAGTGTTTGAAATATTAGTATTTCTTCATCATGTTTATATCCCGCTTTTCCCCAAGGAGCTTTCAAGGGGGCACATGTGGTTTTCTTCTTCTCCACTTTATTCTCAAAAGAACCTTGCAAGGTGGGTTAGACTTGAGAGATTTGTGACTTTCACAGCCGAACGGGGATTCGAACCCTGCTCTTCCAGGTCCTAGTCCAACACTCTAACCGCTACAGCATGCTGGTTCTTTAAAGATCTGTTGTTTCCCCATCACCACTCAGCTGCCAGTGCCAGTAGGGAGGGGGGAGTGAGATTTTGGTTCCCACCTAATTCACAGCTCCCAAACTAGTAACTGAACTGAAATGTTTCAAAATTCGCACTTCTCCTAATTTTGTGATGCTGTTCTCCAACCCAAAAATGTGAATGTTTGGGGAAAGTGTGTATTAGTGAAGGTGACATGCAAAAACAGATTATGCCAGGGGAAATGACTTGCAAAAAGCCTGCGTATTGCACAAAAGTGTGCTCAAAATGGGTATCCTTAGAGAAATTATGCGTGAAAACATACATTTTTGTGCATTTTTTAAAAAAAAATAATCTCAAAACTGATGCAGAAATGGTCCAAACTGAATTTAAACTTGGGGGGAAATGAGAGAGTGAAATGGAAGGGATTCCACCACCACCCCTCACTCAACCCCATCATATCAGTTAGGCATTTTGGTCCTGTGGGTGGTACTCAACCAAGTCCTATGCAGTGTAGACGCATTGAAATTCATAGGCATGACAAATGTAGGTTAATTAATTTCAGTGGCTCTGCTCTGAGCAGAACATAATTGAATGCCATCTTTTGTAAAGATCAACTCTTGAGCTCTCCAGCCTGCGATCTGTTTCATGTAGAAGTGCTCCACTCCTCAGTCTCACGACATGGGCAGGACTTTGATTTTCCTGTCCCCTAAACTTCACCCACACTCCTGGATTGCTCTAGTCAGTACACAGAGTTCTGCCTCCTCTTTTTCTTTATCCAATGCTGCCCTCTGCTGTCTCAGCTCAGCACTGTTGCCAAATGGAGCTTTTAACTTCTTCATTAACAGTTTGCCACCCTGTTTTCTGCCGTAGCCTGCTGTGTCTCAAAGCTTTGTTCAAATGCTTCCTAGCCCTTTTTCTACACATTTATCGGGGCTGGCACTTCTCTTTACGTTGTGGAGCGACCACTGTACACCCTTCTCCTGTGCCTGGGACAAGGTTTTAGGAAAGTCGACTCCCCATTTTATCCTCCTTGCGAAGTCGGGCAGATTGGGAGATACTGACAGGCCCCTGACCACCCAGCGATTTGAATCTGGGCCTCCCTATTCCTCATCCAGCACCCAAATCACCATGTGCCACACTGACTTTCTATTTGAAAAAGCTTTTCGAGTTGGACTGGAGAGCAAACAATGTAAAACATGTTTTCTGAAAAACAATCAGCCTTTGAAATCTTGGGGGCTTCCATGTCCCAATTGTGGAAGCTCTTGCCCTTCCTTACAGGCTAGAAAACTCCCAGTATTTGTTTTTTGCAACACTGTCACAACATAAAATAGAAACATCGCCACCCGACCTCTTTCCCTCTTTTCTTACTAATGTCCCAACAAATGAAACTGATTTGTAAAAATGTTACATGGGGGGGGAAAATACAAGAGAAAGACATTGCACACACTTTTGTAAATAAAAAAATATTTTTTTTTTTAAAAAAGACACTGTCACAACTTTCACTACAGGGGGTTGGACTAGATGACCCTTTTGTGTCCTTCCAACTCCACAATGCTATGATTCTCTGCATGACATGTTGACATAAGCGAATGGACAGATCTCTGTCCCATGGAGCTTACAGTTTAAACAGGGAGGACAATAGAATGGAGAACTAGTGTGTCAGGAGGAAGGCGAGGCAACAGTTTTTCTCCCCAACATCTTGTTTCCTACACGCTAGAAATATATGTGCAGGAGCATTCTGTTGTTCATGCACCACCACCAGTGACACTACAATCCAGCAACAGTTTGAACATGTGGCAAGCTCAGTTTCTACAAGGGATGCAGAACAACGTGTGGCCTCCTTGACATTGCTGGTTTCCCAATACTCCTGAACATCGGCTGTGGCAGATGGGAGTTGGAGACCAGGAGCATTGCGAGGGGCCACATGGACTCCCCAGTGTACGCTGCTCATCCTGGAGTTGAATTTTAAATATTTTGACACGGAAAAGTATCTTGCGCTCCATCATTTCCAAAGGGCGTTCCCCTCCCCTTTTCTATTTCATTGCTGTCTTAGTCCCTAGAGCCATGTTGCAGTTGAAAACCAAGGAAATTAAATGAGTAACATGGTTGAAAGCACTTCATTTATCAATTATGCATCTAATTCTGAAGTCAAAGGTTGCGTTATTCTTGTTTTTTGTTAAAGAGGCACATAAAATAAGTCTCTTTAATTATGCTCTTTCCTTAAAAGTTCTCCAACATCCTTGCAGCCAGAGCTGCTTTATAAATGATGCCTGATGGAAGTGGAACGGAACAAAAATTAACGATCTTGTTTCCAGGCCTTTGGCGGGGATTGTTTTGACTGAACTGTACCAGGGAGGGTCATTGAGTTCCCAAAAAGTTTAATTAACACCTGATCCCTTTTCATGTGGATTAGTAATTTTCTTATTGTATTAACAGCTTCATAATTGATTTACACTTTACTCCCAGTTAATTCAACTTTTAGTTCAAAGCCGTATTTTTGTATTCAGTTTTATATGTTCAGCATGCAAGGGAGAGAAATCTGCTGATTAAATCTTGAACTTTGATCATTAAAAAAACCCCTCACACTTTGAAATTTATATTTTATAATATATGTCCCTTGAACTCACTCAGATTGTTCAAAATATATGAAACCTGAATATTGGTCTGTCATGCAAAACGTATTTCTGTTCTTTGCTATTAACAGGGATAATAAAATGTCTTCGTCTATTTTTAAAAGGCTCACCTGTATATTGATTCCTGCTCCCCTCCTTTTTTGTGAAAACAATTTTGAGATGCAGTGTTTCTGGGCACTGTGCTTTTTATAGAGTGAAAATCTTTCCTGTTCATTTCTGCTTGTAATCCCAAGTTGTACGGGATCAATTTCAGTCTGTTACCTACAAGGATGTGGACAGGCTGCTTGGACGAGTGAAACCGACCACTTGTCTCCTCATAAAAGTGAACCCGCAATGGGCTTTGTGGGGTGGTGAATGTTCCCCTACGTGAGTGAGTCTTCCCAGACCCCCTTAAAAAGAAGTCATTAAACCGCTTCTTTAAAAAACCCATAATTGGACCCAGCAATTTTTGCCAATTATTACCCAATTTCAGACCTTCCATTCCTGGACAAGGCAATTGAGTAGATGGTTGCTGAACAACTCCAAGCATGTCTGGAGGATGCGAACCATTTGGCTCCCTTCCAGTCAGGATTCAGGCCCCATCATGGGGCTGAAACTACCTTGATCGCGCTGGTCAATGATCTCTGGCAGTCTAGTGACAGAGGTGAAAGCTGTTTCCTAGTTCTGCTGGATCTCTCAGCAGCCTTTGATACCATTAGTCATGGTATCTTTCTGGACCGTTGGGGTCCGTTAGGAGCTGCGGCCACTGTTATACAGTGGTTCCGCTCCTTCCTCCTGGGCCATGACCAGAAAGTGGTGGGGGGGGATGAGTGTTCAGACCCTTGGGCTCTCACTTGTGGGGTGTCTCAGGGTTCTGTTCTCCCCCCATGCTTTTTAACATCTATATGAAGCTGATGGGAGAGATCATCAGGGGGTTTGGGCTTGGTGTTCACCAGTTTGCGGATGATACCCAGCTCTACTTCTCCTTTAAATTGGAACCAGTGAAGGCAGTGAATGTCCTGTGTGAGTGCTCTCCTTCAGAATTCATTTTCAGCCTTGGAATAGATTTTTGTTGGTTTGTCTGAACATACACAATTCTGCAATGAAGGCAGCAAACAAGAGCAGTATTCTGAAACTGACTGTTCAAAGCAGGTTGAGTAGGATATTCTCCTCACACAGGGCCCTACCTTTAGGCAGAGTGAGGCAACTGCCTCAGGTAGCATATATTGGGGGACCAGTGTTCCCCTAAGCTAGCCTGCTGCCCTCAGGTGCCGTGCAGAATGATATATCATGGTTGTTGTGGCAGTAAGTGTCAACTGCCTCAGTCTAGCTGGCTTCTGTATGAGGAATGAGGGGAAGGTGCCATCTTGTAATTTGCCTCAGGCAGCAAAATGCCTTGGGCTGGCCCTACTCCCTCATAACATTTTTACTTTGATAAAAAGTGGAAGCCACACTTTTTTTTGTTAAAATCTCATCTCACTGAGTATGTGTGCCTATCAAGATGTCCATTTCTGCTTGCATTTCAGGGTCTGGGAACAGACGAAGACACGCTCATTGAGATAATCTGTTCACGGACAAACCCGGAGCTGAACGCAATCAACAGAGCCTACAGGGAAAGTAAGTTGACCAGGAGGGATGGGTGGGGGGCTGAGTTTTTCCCTTGGGGGCAGATCCACACCATAGATTTTAAAGCACATTCAGCAGACATTTAAAGCACATGTTTCCCCCCAAGAATCCTGGGAACTGTAGTTTGGTAAGGATGCTGGGAATTCTAGCTCTTTGAGGGGGGAGACTAGACTTTCCATGATTCTTTGGGGGAAGTCATGTGCTTTGGCTGTATGGTGTGGATCTGTCCTTAGATAAATTGCCCTCGGAATGATTTGAGGATTGACCTGCTGATACCTTGATTGATGGGTCCAGCGACACCAAGCATTTTGTGGTAATAGGTTCAGAAGCTCATTTGCAGTCGCAGAGGTGTAGTCAGGGTAAGTACTCAGGGCATGTGAGGCCACTCCCTTGCTGAAGCTAAGTGTCTGGTCAGTTCCTGGATGGGAACCAGATGTATGCTGCCTTAGGTTCCATGACAGAAGAAATGTACGGTATAAATGTCAGAAAACAGAGGAGGGCTAACTTATTATTCAGGCCTAAAAGTGAGGTGTAAAATGTCCCAAAGTATTTCAATTTTCGCACCAGGTGCAGTGGTAGGGAAAGAGTGCCTAATTTGCTGGGCCATTCTTAGATCTCATAAAAGTCCTTCCTTGTTTTAATGAAGCAAGAGTTAGGAGGAGGTGAGATTGTGCAAAGCTGGTGGTGGCTGCATTAATTGGCTTTTAAAATAAATATTTATGTGATGATGTTGCTTCATAATGCGTAGTGCTTGGGGCTTTTAATGTCTTAGGAAATGGGTGGGGCACAAGTGAGTTGATGAAAGTTCTGTAGGCCATTGCTTCTTTAGTTGGAAGGACTGTGAACCCCACACAGTTCTAGGGTCAGGAGGGTCCTGTGGAGATGGGGAGTCCGGGGGGGGGGTGGACACAAGAAGCCACTGGAAGGGACAGAGAGGGATATGTGCTACAGAAGCATGAATACTTGATCACAGGGTGCCCTCTTCAGTTTCTGAGACCTTCACAGACACTTGTGCTAGACACTTGATTTTTGTTTCATACAAAGACTGACTTCCACATAGGGCCAAATTCTGCACTGGGATCTAGGATGAAGAAAACATGCACATGGGTGGGTCTTAAGCTCAGCTTTTCCTTTTGACAACTTGGCTTGAGCTTCCAGAGGATAAGTAACTGGGACTTGCATCTGAGTGGATCTGGACAGGATTGCTCTGCCACTTAGAAACAACAAAAGCAACCAAGGGTTTGGGCTCTTTTGTCTGAACTCGGGAAACTTTTCTTCTAACTGTGGATAGCTAAAAAACTAGGATCGGGCTTGTTTTTGTAACAGCAGATCATGATTTTTCATTATGGCTGAACTGGGCTTCAGAAATGTTAGTAATAGAGCCTGCTTAACCAGTCTTCCTTGATTTCTTTTTTTTAGTGTACAAGACTGAATTGGAAAAAGACATCATCTCAGATACATCTGGTGATTTCCGCAAGTTGATGGTGGCTTTAGCCAAGGTGAGACTCTTCTGGTCCAGCTCCCTTTTTCCTCTGGTTATTTTAACTTAACTATTTGCTTCAAGTCATGGTAAGAACTCGATGTTTTAGTTTGGCAGCACTTGCACTTTGGAACTCCCTGCCTATTGACATCTGACAGGCACCTTCACTGTACCTTTTTCAGCACCTGCTAAAAACATTTTTGTTTAGACAAGCCTGTCCAGAGTGGTGGTGTTTGTGGTGGTGTTGTATGTTTTAATCTGTTTTTAGCTTATCACTGATTTTAGTTATTTTTTGAATGTTTTTAATAGCTGCTTTTAAATGTCTTCATTGAAAATTGTACTGTTTTATGAACCAACCCGGACCCTGCAATCACCATCCAAGTCCCTTCTTCATGGGCCTCCTCTGCAAGAGGTCTGGAGAGTAACAAGCTGAGAACGGGCCTTTTCTGTGGTGGCTCCCCACTTGTGGAATGCTCTCCCCAGGGAGGCTTGCCTGGCACCTTCATTCCCCATCTTTAGGCACCAAGCAAAAACATTCCTCTTCTCTCAGGGCTTTGGCTAATTAAACAATCTATGGCCTTTTAAACTGTGAGGAGTGTATGTGTGTTATTGTTTCAGTACCAAACAAAAACAGTAACACCCCCCCACCCAGTTTAAAAGGCTGCAGATTGTTTAATGAGCCAAAGGCCTGGGAGAAAAGGAATGTTTTTGCCTGGCACCTAAAGACATGTAATGTTATGTATTTTTATATTGTAAACCATCCTGTGATCCTTGGAGGAAGGGCAGTGTAGAATTATTATTATTATTATTATTATTATTACAAACTGCTTTGAGTTTTTTTCTTAGAATCCAATGGCATATGAATTTCATAAAATAAATAAATAAAGGACTGTGGCCTAAATGTGTAAGGGATGCCACACAGAATTTGAAATTAGCTCTTACGGCCAGATCTTAAGGATCCACTTCACCCTTGAGAGCCAATAACCATAATGTCAAACCCCCGTGCCCCCCCCCCAGTATGTGCTCTGAGAAACAAGCTCCAGTGATTTGCAACAAATGGTACAAAAGTTGAAACACCTAAAATACAGATGCTCCCAAATGTCCACAGCTCATAACTAGATATATCAAAGGCTGTAGTCCTCATGACTGTAAAGCTGTCCCCAGTCCATAAATCCAGGCAAGAGCATTCGTAATATTCTGCATACTTCTTTTCTCAATGAATCCTGGAGCAAGAAGTGTTCAGTGGTTGTATATCTGAAACAGGTGTTTGTTTTTCTTCTTTAAAAGGGAAGGAGAAATGAGGATGCTTCCGTGGTTGATTATGAGCTGATTGATCAAGATGCCAGGGTAAGTAATTCTGAATACTGACCTCTTTTCACCTCGTATGAGGGCCTGTTGAAAAGCTGCCTCCGGCCTCCCCATGTGTGCAAAGTGTCAACTGTTCCACAGTATCTGAGCAGACAAATGCACTTCAACTGTACCAGCTCACAACATGCTTAGTCTGTTGCAGTGCTCACGCATTCCAGAAGTATTTGACCTGCTGTGAGCCCTTGCCGATAGCCAGGTTATAGACCAGGCTTCCTCAACCTCGGCCCTCCAGATGTTCTTGGCCTACAACTCCCATGATCCCTAGCTAGCAGGACCAGTGGTCAGGGATGATGGGAATTGTAGTCTCAAAACATCTGGAGGGCCGAGGTTGAGGAAGCCTGTTATCGATCCAAACCACCCTAGCAATATTCTCAATACAATAAAGTGAAACTATCCGTAAGTGGGTGAGGTGCTTTGGAGGAAAAGTGCCGGGAGTCTTGTAACTCTGCTGCCATGGCAGTGGCCAGATGTCTGACTCAAAACTTTTTCATCCCAACTGCAGGACTTGTATGATGCTGGTGTGAAGAGAAAGGGAACGGACGTGCCCAAGTGGATCAACATCATGACTGAAAGGAGTGTCCCCCACCTCCAGAAAGGTAACATGCAACTCCAGGCCGCTCCAGAGGTGTGGGTGGGTGAAGCCCTCACGTGTTCAGGTCTGATGATGGAGGCTCCTTTTCACTTGCTTGTGGCTCTCTCTGCTGGCCAGACTGGAGGAGAAGCAGGGATTTGCTCCACAACTGATCTTTGGTTTCATAATTGCACCCATAGCTCAGAGGGGGAACATATGCTTTGCATACAGATTAAGAACATACGAGAAGCCTGCTGGATCAGGCCAAAGGGCCCAATCTGGTCCAGCATCCTGTTCTCACAGAGGCCAGCCAGATCCCTGTAAGAAACCTGCAAGCAGGATCTGAGCTCAAGAGTGATTCTCCCCTCCTGTGGTTTCAAACAACTGGTATTCAGAAGCATGACTGCTTCTGAAGGTGGAGGCAGAGGGTGTCCATCCTGGTTTGTAGTCTTTTCCTTGCATGAATGGGTCCAGTCTTCTTCAGTCATGGAGGCAGAGTATAGCTGTCATAGCTAGCAGCCATTTATAGCTCTATTCTCCACAAGTTCATCCAGTCCTCTCTCAATGCCATCCCAGTTGGTGGCATAGCTGTCAACTTTTTCCTTTTTTAAAGGGAAATTCCCTTATTCCGAATATGATTCCTCGCAAGAAAAGGGAAAAGTTGACAGCTATGGTTGGTGGCCCTTGTTGCCTCCTGTGGGAGTGAGTTCCACAGTTTAATTCTGCGCTGCATGATTTTCTTTTCTTTTCTTCTGACCCTTCTGTTTCCATTGGCTAAACTTTGCAGTGTTTGAGAGGTACAAGAGCTACAGCCCTTACGATATGCTGGAGAGCATCAAGAAGGAAGTGAAAGGAGACCTGGAAAATGCCTTCGTTAATCTCGGTGAGTACATGGACAGAGGCAAGAGGAGTTGACCATCCCAAAGGATGTTGAGGAAGGTCAGGAGTTGGGTGCTTCTGGTTTGCCCTGGACAGAGGTGTCCCTGGAGTCCCTTGTGCCCTTGGCAAGGAGCTGTATTGGTGCCTCCACCCCACAAAACATCTGAGGTTGCCTGGACAGGAGGAGCACGCCTCCTCAGGGCTGGACAGGGCACCCGTACCGCTCTCTGCCTGGAGGCTACTCTGAGAACCCCTTTCCATTTCCCTCCCCCAGCAGCTTTTTAAAAAAGGACTGGGAAAGGGAGGGAAGAGGAAAAATTCAGGCACTAATTCTTAAATAGTATGGGGCGGGGGGTTGTGTGTATACTAGCTAGGGCTATTTTCTGTTAGGTTAGGAACTTAAGAGGAACATGTTCATATCCATTAGTTAAATCAATGTTGATTGGCTGTTGATTGGTTGATTGGCAGTGTTTAAAAAATGGAGATTATTAATCTTTTAGCAAAAGAATCCTTTTGACAGGAGGGAGCAGAAATGTGTTTGGCGGTGGGGGGCTATCTACTCTTAAACTTTTAATAGTTTGATTACAGGTCTGTATTTTAACCCCATGTCCATCTTTTTCTCCACAGTCCAATGCATTCAGAACAAGCAGCTGTATTTTGCGGACCGATTGTACGACTCAATGAAGGTAAAATACCCGAACACAGGTCAGGGGCACCCTCCTGTGCAATCACCATTGAGATTAATTCTGTTCATGAGCTCTCCTGCTCAGTGATCCTGTGCTCATCTGAGTGGGATTTCTCTTGGAGCACCCCAGAGGCCTGTTTCCGCTTCCTGCACCAAATGTCCATAACGTTGTTGTCATATCATTAAATTACTCCCAGAAACCATGCCTATTTTCAGTCTGGGTTCTGAGATGGGTCAGGACTCAAGTGGGGCTTGATCATTCCATTTGCAACTTAAGGGTTAATTCATTTGTCAGTAAGTATGGAAGTGTTGCTTAGCAACTAAGGAGGCTGCATGATCCTTGGTGAGGATGCATATGCTCTGGCTGTGTAGCTGTGAGAGAATTTCTCCCTGGGTGTTAAGTTGAACCTAACCCTGCTTTCAACAAGGCCTGCCCTTAAAAAAGAGAGAAAGCTCTGGTTTCCCCCCCCCCTCCTCAAGTTATATGTTGCTTTGTTTCATTTTCCTCAGTAAAGTGTTATTAGGATTTCTTTTCTCTCTGGATTCCATCTGTGTTATTTTACTGACTGCCAACAATTCCCACCGCCCAAAAAATGCATTGCAAACAATCAAGTTTGATTTAAACAATGAAGTTTAATTGTGGAAAATAATTGTTTTTTTTCAGGGCAAAGGAACCCGAGACAAGGTCCTGATCAGGATTATGGTCTCCCGCAGTGAGGTGGACATGCTGAAAATTAAGAGTGAATTCAAGAGGAAATATGGGAAGTCCCTGTATTACTTCATCCAGGTGAGTGGCCGTGTTGCAGCAGATCTCCTGTCAGTCACAGCAGAGCAGACAATATCAGATCACCCCATGGAGAGCTCAGTTGTGTTGAGCATGGGGCTGATAATGCTGAGGTTGCAGGTTTGATTCCTGTAAGGGACAACTGCATATTCCTGCCTTGCAGGGGGTTGGACTAGATGATCCTTGGGTCCCTTCCAACTCTGCAATTCCATGCTGGCCGTGTGGCGTGCTTCTGCTCAGGATCCCAGCCACTCTATTTCTCCCACTCCCCATTTCTCTCCCCCCCCACAAGCCAGGCTTCTGTGACCGCTGAGCGTACTCAGTCTCCATTCTGCTGTTTTGCGTAATCCACCCCCACAAAGCATTTTTCCCCTTTTGTACATCGCAAGCCTTGGAATCCCTCCCACACCCCAACTTGCTGAAATTCTTGGCATGGTGCAAGAACACACACACGGGGAATTTTGGAAAACACAGCAGGACAATTTACAGCTGCCTGCATGGAGTGGCACAGAATGGAAGCCTCCCTTCTTTTTTGTATCGTTTTGGGGGTTCTGATGATCCTGACAGTGTGAGGAGAGTCAGGGCCAGGCTGGCCCTGCGGAGAGTTTTGGCCTAATGTCTCTTTCCCTCTCTTCCCCTTACAGCAAGACACAAAGGGCGATTACCAGCGGGCACTCCTGAACCTGTGCGGAGGAGAAGATTGAACACTGTGATGGGAATGGAAAGAGTTCCAGCCCCGAGATATGCTCCCCCCTTTTTTTTACCCCGCTTCAGCCCTGATCTCCTTTGCAGAACTAGAGCCATTGGCACGGTAGCCTTTGCTAACTCATCTTCCCTACCCTGTCTACTCCAGGCGGATGCTGCTGGTTGCTTTTGTATCATTCCCTCCCTTGGCTCAGGCTTTGCTTGGCTTTTACCCAAGTAGCTAATCTCAGCAGAAGTAATCAGGCCAAAGGAGTTAACATTCCAAAGAGAGGGAGAAGGAGAGGGAGGCAATCCTTACATGCGCAGTGGAAGATTCTGCCTCTTTTTGTGTGCAATGTTCTTGTTGGAAAGCCAAATAAAATGGAATTTTTACTTTAAGAAAAACACAGTGTGCTCTTGTGCATTCTTCCAGAGGAGGAAAGTGTCAGCTTCCTGGTGTAACAATAATTACCTTGTGGGATTCAGACACTCCCCCTTCTGCGCATATTTTAAAAATTGCTTCATATCCCTCCCTTTTGGTGTAGCCTCCCAGCTCACAGCAACAGACAGTAAGACTGTTTGACAGTGGAATGGACAACCTTGGAAGGTGGTAGACTCTCCTTCATCAGAAGTTTTTGAACAGAGGTTGGGTGGCCCTCTGTCAGGGATTCTTCAGCTGTAATTCCTGCATTGCAGGGGTTTGGACTAGATGATCCTTGGGTGTAATTTCCAACTCTGTGATTCTAAGGAACTAATCCAAACCACTCCTGCTTTGCTTTAAGGTAAAGGGACCCCTGACCATTAGGTCCAGGCATGACCGACTCTGGGGTTGCGGTGCTCATCTCGCTTTATTGGCCGAGGGAGCCGGTGTACAGCTTCTGGGTCATGTGGCCAGCAGGACTAAGCCGCATCTGGCGAAACCAGAGCAGCACACGGTTGCTCGATCCCAGCTCCTGCCAACCTAGCAGTTCAGAAGCACAAAGTGCAAGTAGATAAATAGGTACCGCTCTGGCGGGAAGGTAAACGGCATTTCCTGCTTTGCTTTAGATTAAAGTTAATTTATGGTAGACTAGTGGGGAGTTCCTGGTGCTGCCCAGGAATTTGTAGAAACCCAAAATACTATGTTTTTTAAATGGATGGTGATTTTGTGAGTTTGGATTTGTCATGTAAATGACTGGGTAGCTCAGTTGGTTATAGCGCGGTGCTGATAATGCCAAGGTCACAGGTTCAATCCCCGTATGGGACAGCTGCATATTCCTGCCTTGTAGGAGGTGGAACTAAATGATCCTCAGAGTTACTTCCAATTCTACAGTTCTATGATTCTATGCCAAACATTGGGTGAAATCATGTTTTGGTCTGCCATCTGGATTCAGCATGGTGCCTGGTACCCAAACACTGATGTAGATCCTCACCCCCTTCTCGGGAACCCCCATGCCAAGTTTGATGAAGATACCTTGACAGGCAACTAACCCTATGCCATCAGACAGGTGGAATCATGCAAATGTGACATTTTGGTCCACCATCTTGATTCAAAATGGCACCTGGCATCCAAATGGCAATGAGGTTCTCCACCCCCACTTCAGGAGCCCTTGTGCAGTCTTTGGCAATGATAACACAAGAGACATCTGAACCTGTGCCCCCAAATGGGCATAGTGATGCTAAACTCACATTTCGATCCGTTATCTTGGTTCAAAATGGCAGCCAGCTTCCAATTGCCAATAAAAACAACTGCACCCATATTGGGCACCCTCGTGCCAAGTTTGGTAAGGGTATCTTAAGATGTGTCCAAACTTATGGACCAGATCAGTAGCCTTTATGACAGCAGGGGCGAGGAACCTCAAACCCAGTGGGCCGAATAGGACCCTTCAGCCCTTTCTAGCCTGTCAGTCTGGACTCTTCCCTTGTTCACACCTCTCATTGGCCTTGCCCTCATACCCTCTTTGGTGGTGCTTTTGCCTGGCTGGAATGTGTCTTGAACTTGGATGATGCTACTTGCTTGCCTGGATGGAGGGATGTGGGCAGTGCTATTTTTATATAGAAAAAATGGCGCTAGCACTCACCATGAAGTTGTTACAGTAAGCACCACACTCATGGGGTGGGTGGTGGAGTGCTGGCACTGCATACCCTTGAGTACCCCCAGAAAAAGCACTGGGGTGGGGGTAGCAGTCTTTGGCTTTCCCATGGCTGGGCTGCCACCCAGAGGGAAGAGCTGCATTCATGGCTCCACCCACTTTTGTCTCTGCCCTCAGTTTCTTTCCTGCCCCAGCTTTGCAATAGAAATACAGTGGTACCTCGGGTTACATTCGCTTCAGGTTAGAGACTCCGCTAACCCAGAAATAGTGCTTCAGGTTAAGAACTTTGCTTCAGGATGAGAACAGAAATCGTGCTCCGGCGGCAGCAGCAGGAGGCCCCATTAGCTAAAGTGGTGCTTCAGGTTAAGAACAGTTTCAGGTTAAGTACGGACCTCCGGAACGAATTAAGTATGTAACCAGAGGTACCACTGTAATCTATAAAACTCTACATGTTTCTCGTGCCAACCTTGCTCATCATCATCTGCTTTTTGGTCAGGGTGCAACACTAGCAAATATTGTATTGAAAGTAGACCCATTCATTCATTTCCATAGGTCTAGTCTAACATTGAACACAACACTATGTAAATAAAAGTACATCCAACTTCAACACTAACTGTGGTAACTGAAACCACAGAACAGCCTACAGATTTCTAGCAATAAAACTATCTACAGATGGCTGGGTGAACATGCAAGTTTTTAGCAGGCACTGAAGTAATGAAAGAATCACCAACCAACATATCTCAAAGGTGGTTGGGGGGCAGTCATTCCTCCTGATATTACGTTGTGTCCAGTGAACTTTGAAAACAAGGAAAAGGAGGAAAGAAATGGAACAAGGACTTGGATGTTCTGATTATCAACCCTCTAGTCAGAATGGTATTAGGAGCAGGTCAGCAATAACTCACAAGGCATCAGTGACGTTAACTCTTTATTCAATGAAACAAAACAGCTCAGGCCTAGTGAGCACAGCAACTCTGCCCAGTAGGTCTTGCCCCAACGAGGCAGTTGCAAGGCCTTCCTCCAGCTCTCTTAATTCTCCTGCTCCCCCAGGTCCTTCCCAAGCAATCTGAGACTCCAACACCTTGTCTCTGCTCTGCCCTCTTCATACCTCTGCAGGAAGGGGGAGGGATCCCTGGCTTCTTCCCTGGCTTCTTCCCTGACTCCACTCTGCCTCTTGGCTTCCACTGCTGCCTCTGATTCTGGACTGCCCTCTGACAGAGCCTCTTCCTGCTCACTAAACCCTGTTCCCTCTTCACTTCTGACACCTCCTCCTCCCAGTCTGCTCCCTCTGACCACTCATCATGTCCCACCCCCACTCCCTGGGCTCTAAGCCTTCTTCCCTTGGTGGGGGGGGGGTTCCTCCCACCACTCCTCCACATCCAGCCAGCACATCCAGCCAGTTCCTCCCACCACTCCTCCACATCCACGACACCAGCAGCAAGTCCACATTCCTGTCCCGGCACCAAACACAGCCCTCCTTCAAATTGCACCTAAGAGAGTCAACTGGATCAGGCCAATGGCCTATTTCGCCCCACATCCTGTTCCCATAGTGGTCAGCCTGGTGACTGTGGGAAACCAGCAAGCAGGGGCAGAGCCCTCCCCTCCTGTGGCTTCCATCAACTGCTATTCAGAAGCATTACTGCTTCCAGCTGTGGAAGCAGAGTATAACCATCATGGCTAATGACTGATGGCCCTCTCCTCCATGAATTTGTCTAACCCTCTTTGGAAGCTGTTTAGGTTTGTGGCTGTCACTCTCTCCTGTGGGAGTGAGTTCCATAGTTTAACAAAAGGAGTCCTGCCCACTGCCCACTCTGCTTCTTGGCCAAAAAGGGCCCCAACAATCTCTCTCTTGAGGAGCTCTGAGAAGGGAGCAGAACAACCCTGAGCCATCTCTCTCTCTCTCTCTCTCTCTCTCTCTCTGTGTGTGTGTGTGTCTCCCCATCCGGCTCTTCAGCTTCGTTAGGGTCCCCTTTTTAACAGGGTGACTATCGTGGCACCTTCTGGATGTTTATCCCTTGCTCCCAAATAGGCCTGGAACTAGGGGTGCAGCATGGGGGGCTGAGGGGGCCATGGCCCCAGGTGCGTTTTTCTAAGGGGGCATGACAAGGGGCCTCATGACTGGCCCCCTCATTGGAGCCTGGCTCCAGCACACGAGGGAGTTGCAGAGACAGACAGCTTTCTCACGCCCAACGCCACCAGCCGCAACGCCATTCCTGGGTCAAGCCTGAGAAAGGAGGCAGAGAAAGGAGGGTGGGTGGCAACGGGGTGGAGAGAAGCTGAGGCGTGCACACATGTTATTCACATGTGATGTTCAAGCAGTGTACAGCCTGCCCACACATTATGCAGCTGACTTAAATGCCCATTTCCCCACTACTTTCACCCCACATGCCAGGACCGGCCCACTCAAGAGTCAAAGTGAGGCAACTGCCTCAGGCAGCAGGATCTACAGAGGCAGCAAATCCCAATGTCAATATATCTTTCCCCTTCGTTCCTGATGTATATCTTCCTTCATCCTTTTTTCCCTGGTAGGGTGGGGTCCACCTCAGGTTCTGAAATGTCTTTGCCAGCTGCCATCTCCCATCTCCCTTCTCCATCTTCTGTTCATCTCACCTCTGCCAAATATAAAAATGGAAATTTCTCTGGGCAGGGACCTCTTTCATTCTTTGCACCAGGTAGAGGGATGGTGCAATAATAACCCTAATATACATAATAAATCGTAACACTATGTATGTGAGCAGCCAGCTTCTCAATAGCTCCAAAACTGCATGAGCAAAACCTTGGCTCCCAAAGTGTGAGCTGATTTTATTCTTAACTCTAAGCTCCCTGCTTTTGTGCATTGCAGGGGGTTGGACTAGCGGATCCTTTGGGTCTCTTCCACCTCTATGATTCTGATTCTATTATTCCCCCAAGGACTGATGCTTATAAATTCAGCAGCTAAATAAATAAAAACAAGTTTGCTGGCTTGCATTTATAGACACTTCCTCACACTCATAGAAAGAGAAATTGTTGGGGAAAGCTCTCAGCCTCTTGCCAAACCATTTATTTGCTTATTTATTTACTTGCATCATTTCACCCAAAGGTTGCAGACAAGTCACAACATAATACGTAATTTTGCAGGTGGTAACTGTTTTCTAATAAAACAGCAGGCCTAAACTCCTAATGCACAAAGTGCGGTTCCCCATTAGAGGGTGCTCAAAGAAAGCCTTACTGCTTTTTCATGGACTGAATTGTTCCTATTCTTCTTGACAAACATTTACGTTTTCCTGCTCCAGTCTGGACTGAATTTTTCTAAAGAATTATATTGGAAAGCCTTTGTGTAGTCCATAGATAGACAGTTG